CCCTGCTGGAGCTATCCCTGTAGTTGCATGAGGGGTGCTCCTATAATCAAACAGGAACCGGGACAGTTTGGTATCTAGTGAAACTGTAGGCTGTTCCTTTAAGCCTGCCTTCAAAGTTTGATCTGCTGTTTTTGCCAGACCATTGGATGATGGATGGTATAGTGCATCCTTATATGACGAATGCCATCTCACTGTCGGAAGTACTCAAATTCTCTACTAGTAAATCATAGAATCCCTACAGTGTGGAAACAGGCCCTTCAGCCCAACAAGTCCATACTAGCCCTCAGAGCACCCCACCGAGACTCATCCCCCCATAATCCACCAATTCTACACATCTCTGAACACTATGGGCAATTTAGCATGGCCAATGCACCTAGCCTGCACATCTTTGGACAGTGGGAGGAAACCAGAGCACCTGGAGGAAACCCACGCAGACAGGGGAGAACGTGCAAACTCCACACAGACAGTAACCCGAGGGTGGAATCGAACCCGGGTCCCTGGTGCTGTGAGGCAGCAATGCTAACCACTGAGCCACCGTGCTGCCTCTGTGATTGACAATTCCAGGAGTCTTGGTATTGCAAAAGGTATGCGTAGTTTTTCTATTGTCGTCCCCGTGTTTGATGAATGAATTCAATGACTAAGAACATTGAGCCCATGAAAGGATCTGCATAGTCAACGTGTAATTGAGTCCAGGGTTTACTTGGCCTTTCCCATGAATGTGGGGGAGCTGCTGGCGGTATGTTTTGTGGAGGCCCACACAAAATGGCTGGTCATGCATACAGTTCATTCGTCAAACACGGGGACGACAACAGAATAACTGTGCGCACCTTTCGCAATAGCCAGACTCTTGGAATTGTCAATCACAGGTAACAGGCCATCACTTACCAGCAGGAAATTCCTACAGGGAAATGGTATTCATCATATAAGGATGCACTATACCATCCATCATCCAACTTTTGTCCTGTTGGGTTTCTGGGCACTGCCGCACCAAAAAACAGCTATGTTTGCATCTAATCCTGGCCATCAGACCTAGCTTCTCGCCAACATCGTCATTTTGAAAACCTCTGGAAGACTCTGGTGGAGTTCAGCCAATATCTGGCAGCGACTTTTGCTCAGTGCAATCATTCTTGCTCCCTATAATAATACGCTGTCTTCTATGTGATTTGATCTCTCCGGGTCCAAAGACGTTTCAATTCTGGTTGTGACAGCCTTTTGGATCCCCCATCATCACCAGCTGTTTCAGTTTTGCCAGGACCAGATCTTTTTGCATCCAAAGTCTGATAATTGACAATTCCAGAAGTCTGGGTATTGCAAAAAATGCGCTTGTTTTTCTATTGTCGTCCCCGTGTTTGACAGCTGTGACTGGAAATGTGCCCAGAAAATTTAAAACCATTACAGGTTCCCCCGATGGTGTATCTGTCAGTGGGAGGTGGCTCAATGCATTTGCATTTGCTAGTTGGCCTCCCGGACCATGTTCCAACATGTAATTTTACGCACTCAGTATTAGAGCCCACCACTGAATTCTGCCTGAAGCTATGGGTGGTACTGCCTTGTCCAGTTTAAGTAGACCTAGTAGGTGTTTGTGGTCTGTTGTTATTACAAATTTACTTCCATAAAGGTATCGATGCTGCTTCCTGATTCCAAATATGACCGGCAAACCTTCCTTCTTTATCTGGGCATATTTACATCTTCCATTAGCCAAAATCCTGGTTGCATATGAAATTGGGTGTACCCTCCTTTGGGCCAGCTATGAGCTAAAATTTCCCCAATACTGTATGGGGAAGTATCACATTTTAATACCACGCCTTGCCTGGCATCAGAGTGTGCCAACACCTTAGAGGATGATGGCTGTTTCTTCACTTCCCTGAAAGCTATGGCTTGGCTATGCAACCATTTCCAAGGCAGATTCTTTTTTAAGAATTGATACAAAGTTGCCAGGATGGAGGCCGGGTTATGTATGAATTTTCCATAGTAATTCACCAGCCCAAGGAAAGACCTAAGCTCCGGTACAGATGTGGGGGAGCCGGGCCACCTTTGATCACCCTCACTTTATCTTCCAATCGGTGTAACCCAGTCTTGTCAACACTGTAGCCCAAGTAGGTCACTTGGGGTGCCTGGAACATACATTTTTCCTTCTAAGGCATACGCCCACCAGGGAGAAATGCCTGAGGACTATATCCAAGTTCTCTAAGTGTGCTTTACTGGTCTTCCCTGTTATTAGCATGTCATCCAAATAAATGGTGACCGGGGTAGACTTTGTAAAATGTTTTTCATTGTCCACGGAAAAGGCGCACAGGCTTACAATGCCCCAAATGGCAGTCACATATATTGGTACAAACCCTTATGGGTATTAACTGTGGCATACTTCTGGGAATCCTCACTAACTACTATTGCAAGTACGCATGGCTCATTTCCAGCTTCATGAAGGACAGCTACCCCCCCTCCCCACCGCCTCCCACCGCGCTGGCTTTGTGTATAAATCTCTATGTGAGGGATTGGGTATTAATACAGCTGTGAAAAGCTGTTTACTGTTTGTTTCAAATCTCTACAAAGATGAACCAAGCCATCGGGCTTCACAATCAGTTTGATAGGTGCTGCCCATTCCACTGGTTTGATGATTCCTTTGCTTTCCAGCCTTCTGATTTCTGCCTCTACTTTCACCTGTAAGCCACTCAGTCAACATTATACATCTCTGAATTAAACAGTATAGATAATAAGTATTAATAAACTGCATCAGGTGTCCCTAGCAAGCATTGGTGCAGGGAACCGTAAACCAGAAAGAGGTAGCACCAAAGAACAGTTCCTCAGTGAAAGCACTCACCAGGGAACTGTACCCCAGCATGGGGAAAGAAGAGCTTTCAGAAAATGTCTGTTCTTCAGTTGCGGGCAGTTGAAAATGGAGTCACTTCACTCAGAAGCAATGTAAATACTTAGAGTCATTGAGACGTACAGCATGGAAACAAACCTTTTGGTCCAACTCTTCCATGCTGACCATATATACTAAATTAATCTAGTCCCATTTGGCCCATATCCATCTATACCTTTCCCATTCATGCGCCCATCCAGATGCCTTTTTAATGATGTAATTGCATCAGCCTCCACCACTTCCTCTGGCAGCTCATCCCATGCACATGCCACCCTCCCTGCATGAAAGAATTGCCCCTTAGGTCCCTTTTAAATCTTTCCCCTCTCATCTTAAACCTATGCCCTCTAGTTTAGGACTTCCCAACCCCAGGGAAAAGAAGTTGGCTATTCACCCTATCCATGCCCCTCATGATTTTATAAACCTCTATAAGTTCACCCCCCGGCCTCCAACGCTCCAGGGAAAATAGCCCCAGCCTATTCAGCCTCTCCCTATAGCTCAAACCCTCCAACCCTGGCAATGTTCTTGTAAATCTTTTCTGAATCCTTTCAAGTTTCATAATATCCTTTCTATAGCAACTAAAAATTAAATAATTGGTTATATTAACATCACTGAACAGCACCACAAGGGAATAAAAACATGAGTTACAGGCTGACTTTGAGATAAACACAATTACTTTCTGAAAGTAACAAGGAAATTGAACTTTAATCAGTTCAGAATTCTCCAAACTTAGCTCTGACCAATGCCCCATCCCTCCTGGTTCTGCGCAAGTGCCCCAGAAGGGGTAAAGAATAGCAACTAAAGCAAAGAACTGAAATGGACATTCAAATTCTGGCGTGGAAATCTAGCGTCAACCTGTTCTCTAAACTACCTCTCTCTTAAAATAAACAAAGCAGAGGTGAACAATTCATTCCCAAAAGGAATTTGTTATCTAGGCCATTTCAAAGGAGACAGTTCATCACTATCTCCCCAGGCTATTAATGTTGAGCATTTAATGCTGGCCTCACCAGGGACACCCATATCCCAAGAACTAATAAATATAACAAACTTTATTTAGAGCTGGGGACACTTCTACTGTGCCTAGATATATTTGTATCACGATTGTATGCTTTAATTAAACAATTTATGTTTCTTTACCACTTATTAAGGAATGGGAGAATTCTCAGAGCACTTCAGAAGACAAAGCAAGTAAATTCTTGTGTTATAGCCCAGAGCAGAAAATGGCATTTGATTACCTCGACTGGACCTCCATCTGACCCTGTCCATCCCCACTATAACTGCATAAACTGCCTAGGGAGCATTGAGGAGAGAATGATAAACATTCCTTTGGCTTTTTAAATGCAGCACAGTTTGTTATCCAACCCTCTCATTACTCAGCTAAACAGGAGTCATAAAGTGAAGTTGGTTTATGAGTTTACCGAGTGAGAAGCAGAACTATACCATCCAGAAAGTTCACAAATGCTCGTTGCGATCAGCTGAAACAGCAAAGGCCTAGGTGCTCAGGGTTAGAGAATGGAAATTAAGCGAGGGTTCCTCTTTTAATTATATCCAGTGATTATCTGCCAGGAGGTATGGGTGTATGTTTCCAGTGGGCAAATGATGGGTTTGAATGAATGGTTTTACTGGTCCAAGGACTTAACAGAACACAAGATGAATTTAGATGTAACTGTGAAATATCTCTGGAACCCATTGATGAATCTAAAATATTAACAAATCTACGTGTAAAAATAGAAGACTACATGCGATGCAGCTTTCTGAACTAACGATAAATGATTAATCTACTTCTGTTCATTAGCAAGAAAGAATTTTAAAGGAAATGATGTGTTTAAAATGGATAATTTCCCTTTATCAGGTTGTGATAACTAAGAAACAGGGGCTGTAAAGCCTGGCTGGTTCTGGAGGGCTGATCCTGTGACATTGAATTATGAGACATTCGACCACATGACCCTTACCCATCCCTTGTCACTTTCTTGTTTTTATTTATGGTTTTTGTCAGCAATTGTCGTTTGAGACATTCTGGGGACTTGCACGTACTCCATGAGCAGGTGAGGAAAGTGCTGGTTCTGGGAAAACATTAACCAAGGTGAAAGGTGCAAAGACAAGGTTTGCTTTCAGCATAGAGAAAATACAATCAGGAAGAAGAGTTCCGGGATGTATCTGCTCCTTGATGTGACACCTGGTAAAATACTACCTTAATGTTAAAGGTACTCACCTTCACTTTTGCTGTTTTGAGATTAGCTCTTTTATCCATGTTTAACCAACACTGTAATGAGGTCAGAAGCTGAGTGAACCTGTCAGTAAGTGGGAATTGGTGAGTAAGAGCTGCTTGGTAGCACTGTTGATGACACCTTCTATTACTTTGCCATTGGGTCAGTAATTGGCTTGGATGGATTTGTTGTGCTTTTTGTGAATAAGACATACCTGGAAAATATTCCACATTGCAGGGTAGATGCTAGTGTTGTACCTGTACTGGAACAGCTTGACTAGGGGTGCAGCAGGTTCTGGAGCACAAGTCTTCAGTATCAGTGCTAGAATGTTGTCAGGCTCATAGCCTTTGCAGTATCCAGACTTTTTATATATATATTAGAGTGGATTGAATTGAATTCGTTAAAAATTTACATCTGTGATATTGGGGTCCTCAGGAGGATGCCGAGATGGATTTAAAACTTGGCACTTCTGGCTGAAGTTTGTAAATATGCCAGCCCTGTTTTTGCACTGGCATACTTGAGGATGGGGATATATGTGGAGCATCATCAGCCAATGAGTTTTTAATTGTCCCCCTCCATTCACAGCAGGATGTGGCAGGACTGCAGAGCAACCATCTGGTCTGTTGGTTGTGGCATCTCTTTGCATGCTGCGTGACTGTGCTACAAATGCTGTCGCTTCACCATTTCATTGAATTTTTAGGTATGTCTATTTCAGGTCCTGGCATGCCCTCTTTATTTTACCAGGGTTGATGCCCTGTCATGGTGTTAATGGTAGAATGGGGATCTGTTGGGCCATGAGGTTGCAGATTGTGGTTGAATAAAATTCTGCTGCTGATGATGATCCACAGCACCTCATGGATGCCCATACTTGAGTTGTTAAATCTGTGTGAAATCTTTACCATTCAGCGAGGCGGCAGTGAAAGAATTCTTAATGCAAAGGCAGAACTTTATTTCCATTATGACAGTGCGGTGGTCATTCATTTAGACGCTGTCATGGAACTGCCACAGCTAGATTGGTGAGGACAAGGTCATGTACCTTTCAGAGATATTCAGAACTGCCGATGCTGGAGTCAGAAATAACACAGTGTGGAGCTGGAGGGACACAGCAGGCCTGGCAGTATCAGAGGAATGGGAAAGCTGACATTTCAGTTTGGGACCCTTCTTCAGAAAATCAGAAAATTGGGACCTTTCTGAAAAAGGGTCCTGACCCGAAAAGTCAGCTTTTCTGTTCCTCTGATGCTGCCTGGCCTGCTGTGTCCCTCCAGCTCCACACTGTGTTTTCATATACCTTTCTCCTTCTTGTTGGTTCCCTCAACATCTTTTGCAGGGCAGTCTCGCTCGCTCATTAGCAAAGTGACAAAGGCACTTTTGCTGATGGACATTGAAGACCACACCCAAAGTAAATACATTCTCTGTTCTTGCCATCCTTTAAACTCCTGTTTTCCTTTTCTTAAGGGCATTAATTAATTAGATGAGTGTTTAACAATTGATGATAGTTTCATGCTCATCATTACTAAGATTGGTTTTCAATACCTGATTTTATCAGTTGAATTTAAATTCCACCAGCTGCTGTGGTGAGATTTGAACTCATGTTCACCAGAGCATAGCCTGGATTATTTGGTCCACTGACATTACCACAATACTACTGTCTCCCCCCAGCCCCTGCTGCAGGAATCTGAGAAAGACATCGGGGCACTTATACTAGGGATGGACTCCTCCAATCCTTGCTAGACTATTAATCCAGAAACCCAGCTGATGTTCTGGGGACCTGGGTTCGTATACCACCACGGCAGATAGTGGAATTGGAACTCAAAAAAAAAATCTGGAATTAAGAACCTACTGATCACCATGAAATCATTGCCGATTGTCGGAAAAACCCATCTGTTCACTAATGTCCTTCAGGGGAGGAAATCTGCCACCCTCACCTGGTCTGGCATACATGTGACTCCAGACCCACAGCAATGTGGTTGACTCTCAACTGCCCTCTGAAATGGCCTAGCAAGCCACTCAGATGTATCAATCGCTACAAAGACTCAAAGAAATGGAACTGGACGGATCACCCGGCATCGACCTAGGCACCGGAAAAGACAACGGCAGAAACAGCCCCGTCAACCATGCAAATTCCTCCTCACTAACATCTCGGGGTTAGTGCCAAAATTGGGAGTGCAATCTCACAGACTACTCAAGCAATAGCGTGACATAGTCATACTCACAGAATCATACCTGATAGACAATGTCCCAGACACGACCATCACCATCCCTGGATACGTCCTGTCTCACCGGCTGGACAGACCCAGCAGAGGGGGTGGCACAGTGGTATACAGTCAGGAGGGAGTTGCCCGGGGAGTCCTCAGCATTGAATCCAGACCCCATGAAGTCTCACAGCTTCAGGTTAAACATGGGCAAGGAAACCTGCTGCTGATCACCACATACTGTCCTCCCTCAGCTGATGAATCTGTACTCCTTGTTGAACAACACTTAGAGGAAGCACTGAGGGTGTAAGGGCATAAAATGTACTCTGGGTGGGGGATTTCAATGTCCACCACCAAGAGTGGCTTGGCAGCAGTGCCGAGTGGATGATCCATCTCGGCCTCATCCAGTGGTTCCCAACATTACAGATACCAGTCTTCAAACCATTCAATTCACTCCACGTGATATCAAGAAACGGTTGGAGACACTTGATACTGCAAAGGCTACCGGCCCTGACAACATTCTGGCAATAGTACTGAAGGCTTGTGCTCCAGAACTTGCTGATCCCCTAGCCAAGCTGTTCCAGTACAGTTACAACACTGGTATCTACCCGACAATGTGGAAAATTGCCCAAGTATGTCCTGTACACAAAAAGCAGGTCAAATCCAACCCAGCCAATTGCCGCACCATCAGTCTACCCTCAATCATCAGTAAAGTGATGGAAGGTGTCATCAACAATGCTATCAAGCAGCACCTGCTCAGAAATAACCTGCTTAGCGATGCCCAGTTTGGGTTCCGCCAGGGTCACTCAGCTCCTGACCTCATTACAGCATTGGATCAAATATGGACAAAAGAACTGAATTCCAGAGGTGAGGTGAGAGTGACAGCCCTTGATATCAAGGCTGCATTCGACTGAGTGTAGCATCAAGGAGCACTATAAAAACTGGAGTCAATGGGTATCAGGGGGCAAACTCTCCGGTGGTTGGAGTCATACCTGACACATAGGAAGATGGTCATGGTTGTGAAAGGTCAATCATCCCAGCTCCAGAACATCTCTGCAGGAGTTCCTCAGGGTAGTGTCCTAGGCCCAACCATCTTCAGCTGCCTCATCAATGATCTTCCCTCCACCATAAGGTCAGAATTGGGAATGTTCGCTGATGATTACACAATGTTCAGCACCATTCGTGACTCCTCAGATACTGAAGCAGTCCGTGTTCACATGCAACAACATCTGGACAATATCCAGGTTTGGGCTGACAAGTGGCAAGTGACATTCGTGCCACACAAATGCCAGGCTATGACCATCACCAGTAAGAGACAATCTAACCATCGCCCTTTGACATTCAATGGTGTTACCATCACTGAATCCCCCACTATCAACATCCTGGGTGTCATCATTGACCAGAAACTCAATTGGATTCACCATGTAAGCACAGTGGCTACAAGAGCAGATCAGAAGCTAGGAATACTGCGGCAAGTAACTCATCTCCTCACTCCCAAATCCTGTCCACCATCTACAAGGCACAAGTCAGGAGTGTGATGGAATACTCCCCACTGTCTGGATGAGTGCAGCCCCGACAACACTCAAGAAACTTGACACCGTCCAGGACAAAGCAGCCCGCTTGATTGGCACCACATCCACAAGCATCCACTCCCTCCACCACCGACACTCAGTAGCAGCAGTGTGTACTATCTACAAGATGCACTGCAGAAATTCACCAAAGATCCTCCGACAGCACCTTCGAAACCCATGACCACTTCCATCTAGAAGGACAAGGGCATAGGATACATGGGAACACCACCACCTCCAAGTTCTCCTCCAAGTCACTCACCATCCTGACTTGGAAATATATCAGCATTCCTTCACTGGGTCAATATCCTGGAATTCCCTCCCAAATGGCATTGTGGGTCAACCCACAGCAGGAGGACTGCAGCGGTTCAAGAAGGCAGCTCACCCACCACCTTCTCAAGGGCAACTAGAGATGGGCAAGAAATGCCGGCCAGCCAGCGATGCCCACATCCCACAAAAATGAATAGAAAAAGAAATTCATAGGTGCTTCTGGAAGACTCTGAAATTATATTCTTTTACCACAATCTCTGAGGCTGGCAAGAAGGAGACAACTGCAGGACTGCCTCCAGTTCTCAGCCACTTCCTGCTGGTTCTGTGTTGTTCTCTCCTGGAAAAGAGGGGTTAGGAGTGTGAGCTTTGGAAAACGGCAATATAATGTTTGTGGGCAGGCATAGGGATGGGTGTGACTTTGCATTAAGATGTTGAGGAGAGTATATGTGGGTCAGCTTGTGATGTGAGGAGCTATCACTACAGAGAGAGATGAGTGCACCTTCCAAAGGTGAGGAATGATTCAGAGATGGCTGGAGAAAGCAGATTGAGAGAATTCTTACTGGGATATTCCATATTATTCAGCTTTGCTGCCTCATCAGGATAGAACTGTATCCAGAAGCCAGTTACCATACCGCCACAGTCCTAATGACATCTGCAGAAATTTTCAGTAATGTCTACTTGTTCTCTGGGGCAGCTATTTTTTTTCTTGTCCATCTCCCTGCAAACTGTGATATTACCCACCCCTCTCCCCAACCCAGTGTGATGTCCAGGGACACATCAGGGAGGTTTGCACTCCCTTTGCGTGTTGAGAATCTGTGAAGTTCCTAGCTCATTATACTTCTACAATGCTCCCTATCTAACCTTCACGGAGTCCCTTTTGTGTAGTGGAGCTGAAATAGACTGGCTGGGTCCTTGTACTCACCTGCAAGGAATATCATAGCTGAACCCAATCCAATTTCCCCCAAAGTCCACATGCACTCTCCATCAGCAATCATCTCAATGCAGTAAAGGGCGGAATCTGGACTAATTTTTGAACCCGTATCCCTTGGGCAGAACCCTTGTTTATCCCAGTGACTGTCCCTTCAGACATGATTAGCTGACTCAGTATGAACTGGTAACCAGAGCTGACTTTTCTGATCTGTACAGCTCAGCGTTGCCCCAATAACCATTGGAAGAGCTGCAATAAAACAAGTAAAAGTATATGCATCAGAGAAGTAACTGGATTCAGACGACAAGATAAGGGAGCCTTGATATACCGTGACAGAGAAGTGAATGAATAGAAATTGTGAGTAATCTCTCTCCCCCCCACCCCCACCACCTTGTAATCAAGTAGAAGCAGATAATTTAAGAAAGATTCTCAGGTTCCTTATTAATAGTAACAATAGTTGACTTTGTGTTTGTGCCATTGATTAATGACTAACACAATTGCAATGATTCCAATCACCAGAACATTTCATGCCGTAGGGGCAGCGTAATTTTGTTAATCTAAACCACTGTTTTTCTATCTGTGAAACATTAGAAATATTTTTGATGCAAACAGGATGTTACACCATATTTCAGTGGATTAATGATGAACTGCTGTGCATTCACCTGTTACCAGCGGTGGGAGGACTGGGTGGAGAGTTGCCAGTTGTTTCCATGAAAAGCTATAAAGACTTCAGTTGTCTCAATCAAAAAGAGGGGAAATTAATCATCATACAGGGTGAAAGGGGAACATAGCAGGAAACAAGAAAGAACAATGATTGCAGCAATCCAGGAAGCAGGATATGCTGCCACTTTAGCATAAGTACAAAACAAACATACTAAAAGAATCCCACGCAAATTAATTAATCAGAGTTTGACTATTTGCTTCAGAATATGTAACAATATTCTCAAGAAACAAACCAGGAGAGAGCAGTAAGGGAACAAGCACAAAGCAAAATGGTGATTTTAATTTATTTTCCCCTGGGATATCATGGAAAACCCAGCACTTGCTTTCCATCTCAAACTACCCTTGCAGCGGTAGTGAGCTACCTCTTGAAATGATAGAGTCCATCAAGTACAGGTATGAGTATACAAATTGGGAGCAGGAGTAGGCTCCTCGAGTTTACTCCACCTTTCAGTAAGATTATGGCTGATCTGATTACCCTAAATTCTTACCTACACACGATAGTTTCCTGATAGCCTTTCACCACCTTACCTAGCTCCCTCTGCCTTAAGCAGATTCAGAGTTTCTGCTTCCACAGTCTTGAAGAAGATTTCCAAAGACTCATAGTCCTCAGGAAAAAGGTCTCCCCATTTGTCTTAAGTAGGTGACCCCTTCAGTTTAAATAGTGACTCATAATTCACACCATACCTGGGCAATTTTGAACATTGTTTTGTTGATGCTGTTGTAGCTATAATGGAACAGCTTGGTTAGTGGCACAACTAATTCAGGCACTAGAAACTGCATAGACTATGGATCCTGACAGTAATCTAGCAAAAGTACTTCTGCCTTGTGCTCCAGCATGGCACCCGCATAGCCAAGCTATTCCAGTATAACTTCAACTTTGGCATCTTCCTGGCATTGTGAAAAATTGTGCAGGTTTGTCCTGTCCAGAAAAAGCAGAGCAATCCAACCCTAACCAAATACTGCCAATCAGTCTACTCTCCATTGTTAGCAAAATGATTGAAGGGGTCATCAACTGTACCATCAATCTGCACTTGCTCAGCATTAACCTGCTCACAGATGCTCAGCTTGAGTTTCACCAGGACTACACAGCTACTAAGCTCATTATTGTGTTGGTCCAAACATGGACAGCTGAACGCGTGGGGTGAGATGAGAGTGATTACTTTGACCTTGTATGGCATCAAGAGCCCAAGCAAAACTGGAGTCAACAGGAATTGGGGGAACCTTTCACCGGTATGAGAGATACCTAGCACTAAAGAAGATAGTTGTTGGACGACAATAATTTCAATCCCAGGACATCACTTTTGAATTTCTTCAGAGTAGTGTCCTGGGCCCAACAATCTTCAGTTGCTTCCTCAATGACCAATGCAACTCCTCATTAAAGGTCAGAAGTGGGGATATTCTCTGAACAATTCCACAACATTTGTAACTCATCAGATACTGAAGTAGTCTGTGTCCAAATGCAGCAAGACCTGGACAACAGTGTCATAGAGTCAAACAGTCATATAGCATGAAAACAGATCCTTTGGTCAAACTTGTCCATGCTGACCAGGTTTCCCAAACTAAACTGGCCCCCCATATCCCTCTAAATGTTTTTCATTCATGTACCTGTCCAAATGTCTTTTAAATATTGTAACTGTACTTGCATCTATCACTTCCTCTGACAGTTTATTCCAAATACACATCACCCTCTGTGTGAAAAGGTCACCCCTCAGGTCCCTTTTAAATCTTTCCGCTCACCTTAAAACCACACCCTCCAGTTTTGAATTCCTCTACACTAAGGAAAAAAACCTTTACTATTCACCTTATCTATGCCCCTCGTGATTTTACAAATCACTATAAGGTTCCCCCTCAACCTCCCATGCTCCAGGGAAAGTCCAGTCTCTCCTTATGACTCAAACCCTCCAGTACCAGTAACATCCTTGTAAATCTTTTCTGCACCCTTTCCAATTTAATAATATCCTTTTTCTAGCAGGGTGACAAGAACTATTTAGTTCAACCATACAAAGTGTTCAATTTCAGCACCCATATGTTAAATCTTGGCTCAGTGCCATCAACGTGCCAAGCAATGATCACTTCCAACCAGACAGAATCTAACCATCTCCCCTTGAGTTCAATAGCTTTACGATCACTGAATACCCCACTCTATTAACATCCTGGAGGTTACCATAAACTAGAAACATTGTATAAACAGACTCAAAAGCACTCCTAGCGAGAACATGTGAACTGCCAGGCTCATGTTGTAGGTTAGAAGCAAGACTAAAGAGGACAAAAGGAAATGTTTATTCGTTAACTTGCGATTGAGTTTTTAAAACTTGCAAATTGTCAAAGGAAGAATCTCAGAATTAGGGAAGGTAAAAATGGGGAGGGTTCTTATCCTTTCCTATCTAGAATGTCTGATGGTATTGGGAGATAAAGAGTAATGGTTTCACAGCTGAATCTGCTGTGGTACCCTCCCTTGGTTCATGAATGAGCATTGGCAGAATTTTCAACTGTAGCGAGGGCAGTGGGGGAGGTCCTGCCTCATCAAACATCACCAAACATTCCAGCATGGGCCACTGGATAGTCATCAGGACTCCGGCTGGTTTATTTTCCCCTGACTAACCCAGGATTAATTATCTCTTATTGCAGCTCGAGCTGTTCAACGGGGAAAGGAAATCAAGACAGCAACTTGAAACAAACCATGTGATTTACATCTGTCCATTTTAAATTATGACAACTTTATTTAGAAATCATAAAGCATGACCCCATCCAATACAATTTGTTGAATAAGGTAAATGTATGTATTAATTAATTCCATTGAAATCAAAACCATATAATTGCTAAGTCCCAAAGTTTTATCATTTCAAAATAAATCAACTCCAGTACCCAACCTTTTTATTGCCATTATCATTAACTAGAAGCTGATCATGAACCCCATAAGTGTTTCCTAGACTTAGTGTCAATTAGGGAAAATTAGAGCGGGTTTTATTTCCCTGTCTATCTTTTTGTTTCCAAAATTGTTTTCTTTTGGGGAGTTTCTGTCCAGGTAATAATGACCAAATAATGAAATTAAAGACACAAGAACAGAGACTGTTGGAAAAGCTCTGGCAGCATCTATGGAGAGAAATCAGAATTAACATTTCAGGTCCAGTGACTCTTCCTCAGAACTGATGGTAGCTAGGAAGTGCAGAAGGGGAGGGTGTAAGGAATAAATGAAAGGTGGAGATAGAGCCCAAAGAGAGAGAAGAAGTTGGACAGGCAAAGGAGTGGATAATGATTGACGAAGGAGAATGAGTGGCTGTTAATGGGGACAACTAGTGGCTAATGATGGGTAGCATGTAATAGTAGACCATATGATAATAAGGCCTGGTGTGTGGGGGTTGGGGTAAGGACATGGGAAAAGGTGGCTCAAGCCCAAAAATTGTTGAACTTAATATTGAGTCCAGAAGGTTCCAAAGTTCCAAAGTGGTTCTTCCAGCTCACGCTGAGCTTTGCTGGACCAAGCCTAAGACAAAGATGTTGGCCAGGGAACAAGGTGCTGTGTTGAAGTGGCAGGCAACTGGAAGCTCAGGATCCTGTGTGCAGACAGAACATAGGCGTTCTGTGAAGTGATCACCCAGTCTACGCTTTGTTTCCCTGGAGTAGAGGAGAGCACATTGTGAACAGCAAATGCAGTAGACTAGATTGAATGAAGTGCAGGTAAAGCGTTGCTTCACCACGAAGGTGTTTGGGGCCTTGAATACTGAGGAGGGAGGAAGTGAACAGGTAGGTGTTAGATACATCTTCTACGGTTGCAGGGGAAGATGCCATGGGGCTGTGGGTTGGGTTGAGGTGTGATGGCTGTGAAGGAGGAGTGGACCAGGGTGTCCTGGAGGGAATGATCCCAGTGGAAGGCCTGACAGGGGAAGGGAGGGGAATGTGTGTCTGGTGGTGGCAGTCCACTGGAGGTGACGGAAATGGCGGCTAATGATCCTGTGGATGTGGATGCTGCTGGGATAGTAGATGAGGACGAGGGGGACCCTTGAAAGAAATTGAAGTTCATTCATTTAGTCTTAAATTCTCTTTTGAGAATTTTCCTGATTGAACACATCCATGTCAAAATAGCATAATGCCAAAACCCTAACACCTATGTACTTTCTTAAACTGACAAGTCATATTCATTCACCTCAAAGTTCAATCATAGAATCCCTACAGTATGGAAACAGGCCATTTGGCCCAACAAGTCCACACTGCCCCTCTGAAGAGTACCCACCCAGACCCATCCCCCTACAACTATGCATTTCCCATTTCTAATCCCCCTAAATTACACACCCCTGGACACTGTGGGCAATTTAACATGGCTAATCCACAATGCTAACCACTGAGCCACCGTGCTGCCCCATAGTTGACATTGCTTGTTTTGGTGGCTATCAGGTTCATGCAAGAACTGTTGCATTAAAATTAATTATTCTTGCTGTACTTAACACAAATCACACCAGTGAGGGTTTTATTTCCTGACATGTTATGTCATTAAATATTTTGACTGTTTCAGGTTTCCAACATGTTTAGTTGGAATATCCCCCATATTCTGCCATGAAGAATGGTCTAGTTTTTGGATTAAACGTTTTGAGCTGTTGGGTGATGTTAAACCATATTAAATCTTCCAGGAATTTCTATAAGATTGAGTCTCCATGAATGATCCCGGTTTAAGAAAATATCAGATTCACCTGAATACAGTTCAGTTAAAAATGTTCTGCTTACAGGACAAGAGCAGTCAGCCTGATATTTTATTAGATGTTGTTTAAGAGAAACTCTTTAACCCACATTTACTGGCATTTCTTCACAACTGCTATTTACTGGCTAATTTAAGACATAAATTCAAAGGAGAGAAAAGTTCAGTTCCATGACATGGATTTAACAACCTGACTAGCCCTGGGCTCAAAATCTCCCATTGAGAAACAGCAAAGGCATGTTTTCTCTGTAACGAGCAACCCAGAAGTGAAATCCTGGGAGTATTTGAGAGGGACACGACTGTTATAGAAATCACCAATTCTGTCACTTGGGGTTAGCACAGGGGCAAGGCCTAGTGAATGGCACTAGTTTTATCAGATTGATATCAATGGCAACATTTGCCAGATATCAACAAGTGCTTTTATATACTTTTAGCTTTTGTCTCACTGATTAGAAATAGTTAAGCATGTGATGTTACTAAAATCAAAATAATTCAGGTGCTGAGGGAGTGCGTGACAGGCAGACTGTTCCCTGGGAATGTGGCACACACAAACCTGTATTCAGTGTTCAACATTAGTGAGGGTGCTCGGAGGTGCAATCAGGAGCAAATTCCCAGATCTCTGGAAGACTTGGCTTCACAGGGGAGTATCTTGAAGTACAGATCTGCAGTGGTTGTAAGGGACTTAACAGCAGAAGCAACCACAGGCATGAGTTCCCATTTTAATGATGCCAAAGGAAGGGATATCACTGAATGGGTGCAGAATGTTCTGCTAATAGAAACGGAAACAGCTAGCAGTCCATATTGGAACTAATATTGAAAAGGAAAAGTGTTGAGGTCTTACAAGCAGACTCTTAAGAGTCAGAGTAAAATTAAAGGTATTCATTTTTGCAGTGTACTCAAGGTAGAGAAACACAAAGATAATATGGTGAAAATATGATTGGAGGAATGGTGGGCTTTAGATTCCATCAACCAAAACAGAGAGAGAGAGAGAAGCCAGGAAAACTAGGACGGATAAATGGTAACAGAACAAGGAATAGTGTAGAAAAAGAAGTTAGATGAAGGAGGAAAAACCACATCTAGCTAGCATTGTGTTAAAATTATTATTGTTTCTACGAGGTATGCTACAAATAAGGTTGATGAGTTATATGCACAAGTTGCTGCATGGGGCTATCATGTACTGGTTTAAATATGAAAACGAACAGGCACTAAATATTACTATCTATAACGTATTCAGGAGGATGTCACAATCAGACATGGTCATTTAAAGGCAGAAAGGCTCGAAGGGCCAAATGCCATCCTCTGTTCCTATTTTGTGTTGCTTTTCTTGGAAAGGCAAAGAAAAAGACTTGAGATGGGGTGGCACATTGATCAAAAGTAATACAACAGATCTATGGGTGGGGATAGAGACAATATACAAGAGGTCTTAAAGATTTATCTATTTTGATTACAGCCAAGGAACAAAAATGGAGCTATTACTTGCTGGATGTTCACTATAAACCCCAAAACAGTGAGAAGGAGATAGAACAGCAAATTTTAGAGAAATGTTTCTTTTTCCCCCCTCTAAGAATACTCAAGCTCTGTACTAATGAATGACTACAAAGATATAGAAATAATTGGGCATCATTCAGGACTCCAAAGACCCTAATATACTATAGAGAAAAGAAAAGCAAAGATCAAGGGGGCAAAATATTACTAAAATATGTACAGGAGAACTTTCTTAATTAGTGTTGCTAAATCAACAAGGAAGGGAGCAATACTGACTCTAGTTCTGGGGAATAAATTAGGGTATGTTTTAGTGGGAGAACATCTGGAAAATAGTGAACATAACAAAATTAGGTTTAACAAGTTATTGAAAAAATAAAGACTAATCAAATGAAAAATGAAGACAGTCAGTCAATTTCAGTGATAGAAGAGAAATTTAGCACAGTCAAACTGTAAGAACGGATTAGTCAGGAAAACACTAAATGAGAAAGGAAGGTGCAGATAGTACAGGAATACACCAAGCATATTCCCCTAAACAGAAAGCTGAGACACTGAAAGCTTCAGCTCTAGGCATGACAAGGAAATACATGTTAAAATAAAACTGAAAATGACAAACGTCAGACACAGAACATTATCAAAAACCAGGAAGAACCCAGATAGCCCAGGAGGAAACTGAAAAGTGATATTGGGAGACCGGTTGGAATGAATGTGAACAGATTTCAGATCATCTAAAAAGGGAACCTAAAACGTGGATATTACAAAATCTGACAACGTAGTAAGCAGAAGGAAGGATAGTAACAGCCTTCAGGTTGACAAATCACAACCAGTACTTATATAGCACCTTTAACCTAATAAATCTTCCCATGGCACTTCCCAAAGGCATTAAGTAAAATGACACTGAACTACATGAGGTCAAATGTAAACCCTGTCAAACAGGAAGATTCTAAGAAGTATGGTAAAAGAGGAAAACAAGGTAGAGAAATGGACAGGTTGGAGAAGATTACAATAACAGACTGTCGAAGTATTTAGTAAAAGGTGAGAAATTTAAAACTGACAGACTGGTTAAATGGTAGGAACATGCAATTTAATCCTGTAATTGAGAAGTAATGCACTTAAGGAGGAAAAACATAGAGAGACAGCGTAATCTAAGTGCTAATAGGGAGGAAGTAGCAAGTGCAGTGGAATTAAGGGATGCAGGCTGAAAAATCTTTATAGATTGCAGGAATAAAACTATTTTCTCTCAGAAATAGGGTAGTCACCAGAAAGAACAGATTTAAAATAATTGGTAAAAGAATCAAAAAAAGAGGAATTAGGAGATTTGTAAAAATTACACACAAGGAGTTCTTAGCGATTCTGCAAATCGCTACTAGAAAGGGTGATGGCATCAGATTCCACATGATGTCTCACAAGGCAATCAAATATGCATTTGAGGTGAACAGATTCAGACGCTTGTGGAGAAGAAGGGGCAGTTAGTTGTGATGGCTAACATGTAGTTCAGAATTACACCAACAGTGTGGGCTTGATTGCGGCTCCAGCTGAGATAGACTGCGGATCTCCCTTCTCACTCCCGAGTCTGGAAGGCAATGGCAAACCGTCACTCTCAAAACCTGGGGAAGGAGGATTTACATCTGGGCAGAGCACTTGTTGAATGGAAAGTGGAAAAGAGTTGGGGG